CTAGGGTTTGGCTCAATAGAAGAGATAAACATAATCACCGCAGTTAAGACAAATACAGAGAAAAAAGATGATCGATGACTCGCAATGTCATGTTGCTAGTAGCGACGTTTCGGCTGCTGGTGCTGCTAGCCTTCATCAGGCAACTGAAGTCTGGATGCTGCAGAGTCCGCTATACACTGCTGGACCGCGTCCTGCGCGTGCCCCCCGCTGTGTACTGCTGAGGTAGTATGGGTGACCTCAGTGGGCGTCGCACGCTCCACTCCATGGGCGTGAAGGGGCGTGTCCTTGGTGTGGCTCCGTTGTGCTCCGGTGCTGCAGTGATTGTGTTGACGGATGGTGGGGAGCCAAAACCCAGGGATGTCAATGGCACTGTCTCTGTTGATACTGTGTCAGTTGAGGCGGATGTGGATGGCCTCCTTGATGCATCTGGTGTACCAATGCTGGTCCTGGTCTACACACTGCACGCCCTCCCAGTTAGGGTGGTGACCAGCTCCCCAGGTGTATTCGGCTACCGCTGACGAATCCCGCGCTCATGCCGCGCTGGTGCTCCTTGATTCTCTCGCCGACGGAACTGCCAGTTTCGCCGACGTACACCTTGTCGCAGTCACCACACGGTATCCTGTAGACTACTCCTCCGTGTCTTCCGGGTGGGATAGAATCCTTAAGGCGCACGAGTTGGCTCCTCAAGGTGGTGGACGATCGGAACACGGTGCAGACACTGTGGTCCTCCAGGATCCTCTTCAGCCGTCCGGAGATACCGTCCATGAAGGGAAGAATGGTGAAGGCCTTGTACTCTGGTCACTCCGCTTCGGTGCTTGTCTTGGATCTTGATGACTGCCGGATGAAGGGTGTTGGATACCCGTTTCCCATGAGGGCAGTGGTGACTTGGTTTCTCTTGGCGGCTGTGCAGCGTGGTCTGGTGACTAGGCGTGAGGCGCGGTCGTGGAGGCACTTGGCCACATCCCATTTGATAGATTCCGGGTGGTGCGAGTTAAAAGCCAGATACTGGTCGGTGTGAGTGGGTTTGCGGTACACGGTGCCAGTCAGGCTGCCGTCAGGTTCCCTGTGGACCATGGTGTCCAGGAATGCGATGCTCCTGTCCTGCTCGATCTCGATGGTGAACCGAATGCTGGGCTTGAGGCTGTTCAGGTGGTTGAGTAGATGGCTGGCTTGATCCTGTAGTGCAATGACGAAAGTGTCATCAATGTACCGTTTCCACACGGTAGGAGGGCAGTCGGGTGGGTACCTCTGCAGGGCTTCCTCCTCAAACACTTCCATGTAGAGATTGGCAATAAAAGCTGACACCGGACTACCCATGGCTGCCCCGTCTGTCTGCTCCTATTACGCTCCACTGTACAGGAAATACGTGGAGCGCAGGACAAACTCTAGTAGGGAGACAGTCTTGGTTTGGGAGATCGATGTCCAGTCAGGCAACTCAGGGTCTTCCTCCAGGCGACGAAGGGCCACACAGCAAGCGTTGCCTATGGGGATTTTGGTAAACAACGACTTGATGTTGAAACAGATCAACGCCTCATGGCTGTCGATGTGCCGCCCGCGGAGGAACTCTGCGAAGGCTGTGGAGTTGGGCATGGTGTTTGGTGTGTTGCCGGTCAGTGGTGACACGATCCCGGCTAGATGCTTGGAGCGGTTGTAGGCAAAGGAGCTCACGCATGAAACGATGGGTCTCAAGGGCGTCCCCGGCTTGTGGATCTTGGGTAGACCATACATCCTGGGGGGCTGCTTGCTGATGGGGCATAGCTTCCGGTCTGTGGTGTCGTCAAGACCTCTGGTCTTGTTGAGGGCGAGCAGCTGGGCTGTGATCTTCCTGCAGAGCTGGTCGGTGGGGTCCTTTGCCAACTTCTGGTAAGGGCCCATGGAGATGAGCTCGCTCATCTTGTCCCGATATGTGTCGGCATCGAGGATCACGCTGCCACGGCCCTTGTAGGTGGGGTGGATCACGATGGAACGATCCTCCTGTAGAGCCTTCAGGGTGATGCGTTGCTCCTGGTTGATGTTACTCCTGGGCGGGCGTGCTCTCCATAAGGTGGCGTTGACTTCACTGCGGAACAGATCAGCTGTTTCCGGGTCAAGCTTCTGCAATGCTGTCTCCACAGTAGCCACGATCTCCATTGCCGGTACGCGGTGAGGGGTGACGGTGAAGTTGAGGCCTTTCCCAAGAAGAGATGTCTCGATGGCGGTGAGGGTCCTCGCAGAGAGGTTGATGACCCACTTCGATGTATCCACAGTAGACCCGGTTGGGTGGTGTGACGGGCCAAACTCTGCTCGGCTAGGTCTTGGAGCTTGGTGAGTTGGCGGGCCTTGCACTTATCAAACTCTCGGCGGCAACAGTGGTCAATGTGCTGGGTGATCCGGGTTCGGTCAGCTTCGTTGAAGGTGGACTGGATCTGGGCCAAAGTGGAGTCCATTTCAGCCTGGATGGTCTTCTTCGTGGCTCGGGTCAGGTGTATTCTCTCACGCAGAAAACGGGTTAGGGTTAGGCTGTTGGACAGGCTCAACTTGAACTTACATTCATTGCCGCAGGCACTTTGGGTAATCGCCATGCCCTGTACATGCTCTGTTCTTATGGCACTTTCTCTATGTATTGTTGATGGCATGTGGTTCCAGGGAGAGATGGTCAAAGTTTACACACAAGGAATTGTGGCAAAGATAGCTTACATTGTACTCCAGATATAACATACAGTTCTTGGTATGTACGATGTAAGCCAGCCTGTGTGCACTCATCCTTGTGTGTGTATTTGCCCCTGGAAGGAGTTCATTTATCCTCCCATAACTACCACCTCTCCCCTTGGTCTTTTTCACACATCCAACCCAGTGCCAGCAGCGTGTAGAAGACTTCAGTCGAGATTTTTTTTTATTTAGTCGAGCTAACATTTTAGCACACCAAGCATCACATTCATCCTCCATTTTGTTCTGAATAGAACAAAACGCTTAAGTGCACGCCAAAGGCTGGATATTGTCATTGGTTGAAAAGTTTGTTTTAAAAAAATTCAAGTTTTCCACATTGCACAGTACAGTGTACATAATTAACATAAAATTAAAGTGTTTCTTCACCTGTTGATTATTGTTTCCAATGAAAGATGTCTTTGATATGTGAAAATCCAGAAAACTGTCTTCAAAGACTTGCTATTGTCTCTCCGGCACTGTTACGACTGCTGCAGACAGAAGAAACCTTTTTTAAATTCCTGCCGCCATGAATGTATGGAGGCCACCATTTTGAAATATAGGGTACAGTCCACTAATTCAAGCCCCATTGAAAACAGTGTAAAATCACCATTCTTTAGAACTCAATAACATGCAAGCCAACATCCCTTGGGTGTCTCACACAAAAATTTAATTATTATTCAGTCATTAATCTTTCAGTTTCTTTTCTATTTTCGGGGGTTAACCAATTATATTTTTGATTATTCACCCAAAACAAAACCAACCCCCAAAAGTTGAAGTTCCAAAGTCAGTACGCAGCCATTTTTCTGATACAATAAATCAGAACAAAAAGATTCCCTATAGAATCAATTTCAGCCCAAAACCTTATTTAAGGCCTGTTGTTTCGCTGTTGTAATTGCCTAACTGGAATATGGGTTTTTTTTAGTTGGGCTGGCAAGAATTTGGCATTTGTTAATCGGTTTGACTATTGTTTGAAACCTTTCTTAACCTGCATTTTACGAACTCTTTAGATTTGCCTCTTTCCTGCCCAACTTGCTCATGATGAATTTTTGCATTATGCATGTTCTTACCTACATGTAATACATGTAAATGCTTTTATGGGCACAATTTGATATTGTTTAATTGATAAAAATTAACCAGATACGTACCTGTATGCTGAGTACATTTGAGATGTTACTTAATGCAAGTTTACTTGTCACACTTCTTGCAAATAAACTTAATTAGTTCACTGGGGCGGCCAAACAGTCCTGTGCAGGATTCATGATACCAGTCATTGCAGTCAATGCGCTGCCACCAGTCTTCTCTGTCTGTGTCGTCATCATCCCCGTAAAATCCCCCACAGTGACTGCAGTAGTTTTCCCCATTCTCGGGATCACACACTGAACTGAGAGCCTGTTTTCCTTTTACTTGCTTAGCAATCTTCGCTTGCTTCTTTTCCAGTCCCTCCAATCTTTTCCGTTTCCTTTCCTCCAATCTTTGTTCCTTTTCTTGTTTCTCCTCATGTTGCTCTCTCTTGTGTTCTCTCTCCAGCTTTCTGGCCTCTTTTGCCACAGCCTCTGTTTCCATTTATTCCTGTTTTTCAAGTTCCTAGTGGAACACCTCATCAGAGGTCAGGCACCATGCCTCAGTGATGCGGTTGGTTTTTCTGCCAGTTTTTATCACTTTTGACACTACAGGTTTCTTAAGCACAGCCGAAAACTTACTTGTGTTTTGACTTGCAGCTGGGGAGACTGTACCTGGAGAGGAGACTGTAGTTGGAGGGGACACTGCAGTAGGAGGGGAGACTGCATGTGAAGAGGTGGGTCCTGGTTCAATATCCATAGGCTCAGGTTCCTCGTCAGATTCCAGTGATGGCTTATCTAGGTCAGCAGCATCTTCTGTGGCAGTAGGTTTCTTTGAGATGACTTCCTCCTTCTCTGTGTCAGCAGGATTCATGCACTTCTGCATTGAATTCAAGGACAACAGGTATGGTGACAACTCTGTCATCATTGGGAGGTGGATCTGTAACTTCGGCAGCTTCGTATGTTATCTGTGCCTCCACTGCAGAGAACTGAATGTGCTCGGGAGTAATGGCGTTAGGATGATATGGATAAATCCCTGTTGACCTGAATCCGCTGATGATGTTGGTCATGGTAAACACCTTGTGGTATACATCTGTGAACAGACCACTGAAGTCTTATCTGGTGATGATCCAGTTCGTGTTGTCGCGCATGAACTTGTCAAGTCATTGATTGTAGGCAGTTTTCACAGATTTGTCCAGTGGCTGAGTGTGATTTGTGGTGTGGTGTGGTGTGGCAAGCAGTACATATGGATAGAGTTCTCATGGGCACATCTGAGAGTTTCGATGTTGATGTGGGATGCATGCCCATCAAGAATTAGAAGGACTGGGCGTGTGGGAGGTATTGATGGCAAGAAGAGCTTTGTGAAACCGTATGTTAAACAGCTCCACATCAATGAAGCCAGACTAGCTTGTTCTGAACAGGGTTCCTGGTGGTGCATGAGCGGTCAAGCCTACATTGAGACGCTGACCCTTGAAAATGATGAAAGGAGGAAGTACCGAGCCACTGGCACTAGCGCATATCAGGACAGTTACATTCTCTCCTCGTTCCCCACTTGTGCGAGACTGCACTGTTTTCTTCCCCCTAGCAGCTATGATGCTTGAAGGGGTGTGCACTAAGCTCAAACCGGTTTCATCAAGATTATGTATCTGAGCCGGACTGGACTTCAGTTTAGCACAATCCATGACATCGCCTAATCTTTTGAAATGATCGGCGATGGTCGTCGGGTTCAGTATTGATCTTTTGCTGCTGAAAAACCTTTTGGCTTTCTCAGCGACAAGTCAGGATGACGTTCCATAAAGCCTCTATACCAATCATATCTGGCACCCTTCTTGACATGACTGAATCTATGCTTTATACCAGCATGCTCTGCCATCTCATACGCAAGCTTGCACACAGCCTGCAGTCCAATGCCGAAGCCTTGGCTTTCAAGATCTTTGATGTGGCGTGCAAGTTCGTCCCCATCGGCCTTGCTGAATACCGGTGGTCTTATAGCCAGCAAGGAACTCGGTATCCCCTTGCGGATCCTTCTTGACAGTGTTGATTGGGGTACTCCATACTGTTGAGCTGTCTCTCTGATGCCCAGTCTTCCTTCAGTTACTGCTGTATATGAAGAATTCAGATACAAAAACTGACAAATCCAAATTGGTCATCGTTTGTGAAAGATGGTTTTTGTTGTTGCTTTCTGGGTCAAACCTATCAATTCTGACTAGGGTGCCTTTATGAATCTATACAAGTCAAGTTAACAGAGGACAAAATTTCAAAAATTTAAATTTATTCAAAAACATTTAAAACATGTTTTTGCATTCTATTTGTTGGCAAGAACAGACGAATCCAGGGAGCAGTTTTTAACCACACCAGACAAATCCAAAATTGGTTTGAAGGTGCCTAAATAAGTTAAAAATGGCAAGCATTATGACGGTTATTAAAGATTCAAGATTAATCAATGTATAGAGTTGGATCAACAATCACATTGGTGGATCTGCCCCCCGGATCCTCTTGACTTTTTCCTCTTGACTCTTCAGTTCCTCAGTGGTTTCCTTAAAATTTAGTTGATTACTCTCAAGAGTCCTGATTAAGTCATCTTTTGCAAGCAGTTTACTCTTAAGTTGTACACAGTCCTCCATGGGTACTGTGTCAGGAGAAAATTTAGAAGCCTTGCATTGCATTTAGCCTTTGTTTTTGTTAATAAAAAAAGTTTTGGACTGAGGATAATGAAAATTGAATCTAAAAAAATACATGCCAAGAAGTAAAAAGATGGCAGATTTGTACTTGATCATTAACCAATCAGAGAGCTCAGTTTTGATCACGTGACTCATATAATCCAATCAAAAAGCTCACAACAGTCCCATTTTTGCTGAAAATAGTAGCCTTTAAAATCATCAATCATCGGCAAATATTTAAACAATGTTGTCATGAATAAGTTGTTAACTTATCAAACTACCCCCAAAACCTTATTTTATCATGATTTTATCATGATAAAATAAGGTTGTGTATATTAAACGTGTGTATATTAGGCTCAAATGGATGGCTTAACAGAAAAAAAAATAACACTCACTAAACATTCACTACGCTGACATCGATGTTTCAGTAATAAAAAAAAGTATCCGTGAATTGTCCAATTACCTTAAACATTGCTCACATAGTAGAAAACAAGCATAGAAAAATTATTATTGTGGTTTGGCAAAGTATTTTACTTACCTTTGAGTGGATCGCTGATGGTTTGATGAGCAAAAACAATCAAAGATTTTGGGACGTCTTTAAGCAAACTTATTGTCATATTTAAAAACTTTGAGCATGAGAATGAAGGCCGATATGTAATCTACTTTTTAAAAAAAGCTCCTGGGTACGCCAAACAGAGCTCCCTCAATTCGCGAGAATGTAAGGGAGCTCCACTGTGTCTGCATGGTGGACGGATGAACCTACATATGAAGGCCGCGACGGAAACTTTCAGCTGTTTCAGCATGAGATTGCCACATACCTATACACAGCCATCAAAGCTCTTCATGTATTTTGACTCTAAAGAGGGAATCATTACCTCATCATCAGTTATTCTAATACGAATGCTTTCCTCTGTATACTGTCTGCTTCTGTTTTTCCTTCTGACTACTTATCAAACTCCCATCAATAGTTCCTTCTATACTTTAATGAAAATCTTAGAACTTGACATTCCCGCAAACCAAACAGTGGGCTTTTGTGGAGAATCAGCGACATGTGGCAGAGCCGTATCAAAAATTTTATCATGACTATGTAGTTGTGCTGCTCATCCAAAAATGGCTTGTGACCAGCACAGCATTGGGAACTTATTTTGAGTTGCTGTG